TCACCCCTGCTACCGCTCCCATGATGCACTGGGGCCGACGCCAACTCGCCCCGCGCTCCATCACCCCTCCTACCGCTCCCATGATGCACTGGGGCAGACACCAATCCCACCGCACCCGGGTGCCCCGGCCAACTGCTCCCATGATGCACTGGGGCCGACGCCAACTCCCCCCGCGCCCCGTCACCCCTGCTACCGCTCCCATGATGCACTGGGGCCGACGCCAACTCCCCCCGCGCCCCATCACCCCTGCTATCGCTCCCATGATGCACCGGGGCAGACGCTAACCCCACCGCACCCAGGTACCCCAGCCAACCGCTCCCATGATGCACCAGGACACCCCGCTACCGCTCCCATGATGCACCGGGGCAGGTGCCAACCCCCCGAGCGCCCCATCACCCCCGCCAACCGCTCCCATGATGCACCAGGGCAGACGCCCACCCCCCGGGGCTCCTACAGCTGGGGGGGGGGGGCTGGAGATTGGGGGTCCCGCACTGACCCTCGCCGCTGCCCGTCGGTGGCTGCTCCGCGCTGCCCCGCCCCCCGCTCCGCGGCCTATTGGCGGAGAGGCGCGCGCTCATTGGCGCAGTGCGCCGGCGCGAGGGCGGAGCGTTCACGGAGGGGGCGGGCCGGGGCGTCTCATTTGCATACGGGGAGACACGTCCCCGCGCCGTCCCGCCTCTTTCCGGCTTGGTCGAGTCACTTCCGCCCCGCAGTGTTGCCCGCCGGCCGCCCGGCTTCCGCCCCGCAGGGAGATGAGCTGGCGGAGGGGGAAGCACTTCCGGGGCAGGGGGCGGCCCGCAGGGGACATGGAGAGAATGAGTGAGGGGATGTGGGGGGAGCAGGGAGGGGGAGGGGATGCGGGGGGTGGGGGGAGCAGGGATGGAAGGGGTGGGGGGATGCAGGGGGTGGGGGGAGGAGATGCCGGAGGAGGGGGAACTGGGCTGGTGGCGGTGCTGGGGGGGGTGGCGGAAGGGGGAGGGGGCGCTGGGGGGCTGTGGCTGCGGCAGGGGGTGGGGGGAGCAGTGGGTGGGGGAGGGGGGAACCGGGGGGTGGGGTGTCCGGGGGAGGGGGGTACTTGGGGGGCAGGGGTGTGGAGGGCAGCGGGGGGTGGGTATCCAGAGGCCGATTGTGGAGTCTGACCCCCCCCATGTGTCCCCCCCCCAGAGCTGCCCCCCCGGGGGCCCATGGAGCTGCCCCTCTCCATGCTGCAAGTGGGCTGCGCCGGACGCTTCGAACTCATCACCCGCCCGGAGGGGCCCGACGGGGACACGTTCCCCCTCTCCACGGTGAGCCCCCCAACGCCGGCGTGGGGCCAGCGCCCCCTGCTGCCCCCCATCCCGTGCCCTGCCCGGCCGGCGTGTGAAATCTCCCTTCTCTCTGCTTCCAGCTGCCCCACGGCCTGCCCCCCTACGCCATGGACCTGGCCTCGGAGCTGGAGCGGCGCTTCCTGGCCAGCCCCGAATGGCTGCCCCTCCACCGCTTCGACAGGGCCCCCAGGTGAGTGGCCCGGGCAGGTGGGGTCACCGGGACACCTGTCCCCAGCCGGGACCCATCCCTCGGATGTGGGGGGGGGGAGCGTGTTGGAGGGGGCGGGGACTGGCGCTGACTCCGCCCCTCTGCTGCCCCCAGGGTCTGGCCGCGGGAGAAGGACATCTGGTCGCTGTTGGAGACTGACCCCACCCCTGTGCACTCCACGCTGCAGACGGAGCGGGACCCCACCACAGGGCAGATCCTGGCCTTCAGAGAGGTGAGTGTGCCGGCCCGGACGCTGGGGTCCCATCACTTCCCTTCCCGAGGGGTGCAGTCCCGGACGCCAGGGTCCCGTCCCTTCCCTCCCCGAGGGCTGGGAACTATGTAGCACCCAAGAGGTGTGTCCCGGACGCCGGGGTCCCGTCCCTGTGCTGCCCGGGATTGGGGCAATGGTGCCTACCCGGACACCGGGGTCCTATCCCCTCGCTCTCAGTGGGGTGGGATCAGGGGTGACCCCTCAGGGTGAGCCTTGTCCTGGACACCGGGGTGCCCCTCCGCCAGGGTCTGGGAGCCGCGCGGCCCCCCCATGGGCACGGCCCGCTCTGACCCCCTCCCGCTCTCCGCCCCAGGCGCCATTGGACAACATGGGGCTGTCGGCCAAGAACTCGCTCTCCTTCCAGCGGGCGCCGGGGCCCCCTGCCCAGGCCCTGCGGGGCAGCAGCACCAACTACCCCTTCTGGCCAGGTACGTGACCCCCTCTCCCTCGCCCCCCGAGCTCCCCCACCGGCTGCGGGGGCTTCTGGGACTGAGCCTCTCTCTGGCTCCCTAGGCGGGATGGACGAGCCCAGCATGGAGCAGATCAGTGCCAAAGATCACCTGGAGGAGGACATCGACTTCGAGAGAGGTACATGGGACCCCGGCGTCCTGTATCCCCCCACCCCCTCCTGCCAGCCAGTCCCCGTGCCCCATTCCCAACCCCCCTGAGCCAGCCAGTCTCTGCGCTGGGGCCGGATGGAAACCGGCGCCCCCTAGAGGGGACAGGCCCCTGCCCCATTCCCCACCCCCCGAGCCAACCAGTCCCTGCCCTGGGGCCGGGTGGGAGCCGGCGCCCCCTAGAGGGGACAGGCCCCTGCCCCATTCCCCGCCCCCCGAGCCAGCCAGTACCTGCCCTGGGGCCGGGTGGGAGCCGGCGCCCCCTAGAGGGGACAGGCCCCATGCCCCATTCCCTGCCCCCCTCAGCCAGCCAGCCAGTCCCTGGTGAAATTCTGCCTCCTTTTCCTTCCCCGCTGCCCAGACTTGCTGACGGTGCCGCCGGGCTGGAAGAAGGGGGTGGAGTTCAAGCCGCAAGGTACCGACCCTCCGACTGGGGAGCCCTGGGGAGAGGGAGCGGGTGGGGGGGGGGGGACCGGCTGGGCAGCCCCCTGCCCAGGCTGGCTCTTGTCCTTTCCTCCCGGCTCCTGGCCGAGGGGGAGCGCGTGAGCCCAGCGCGGCAGCCGGGCAGATGCTGGCGTCTTGGGGCGAAGATGGGTGGGGACCCGGGGTTGGGGGGGGCTTAGGGCCCAAAACTTTGGCTGCTGGGCTGTAGCTGGGCGGGTGCTTATTTTGGGGGGTCCGCTCTGAGATCCTCCTCCTGAGCTGGGGAGCCCAGCCCAAGGACCACATGTGTGTGTCCCCCACGGTGGGTTGGTCCCCTCGAAGCCCCCCCAGCTCTTCACCCCTGTATTTGTCCCCCCAGCGGCGACGCTCCAGGCTTCCCCGGGGCTGCTGCCCCTGTCCGGCCTGCTGGGGGCGCTGGACTCCTTCGAGCTGGGCGGCTCCAGTGACGAGGAGGAGGAGGAGAAGAGGAAGACGAAGGCCAAGGGGCCAGGGGGGAAGGAGGGAGAGACGCCCCCAGCCCCCACCCCCGCCATGCAGAGGGCAGACAGCCTAGAGGAGCTGGTGCTGAAGGTGTGGGGGGGGTGCGTTTCTGGGGGCGTTGGACCAAGGGGATCTGGGGGGATGGAGTTTTTGGGGTGGCTGGGGTTGGGTGGAGGGAATCGGGGGTTGGTGTTTGGGGTGGGGGGCTATCGAGGGATGGGATGCTCTGGGGGGCACTAGGGGGTGGTGAGAAGGGGAGAAGTGGGGGTTGGCGTGGGGGGCTGGGAGGGAGGGGGCAGGGATTGCCCTGGATGCTGAGCCCTCTAACCAGCCCCTCTGCCCCCCCAGGAGGTGACCCCCGGGTCCCCGCCGCCCGTCCAGGCCGTGCCCCCCCAGCCCCCCAAGGAGCAATGGGCAATTCCCGTCGACATCTCTTCGCCTGTGGACGACTTCTACAAACGCATCCCCGACCCAGCCTTCCGGGTGAGACCGCCGCCCTGGGGGGCTGTGACCCGGGGGGGGGGGGGTCTCCCCGGCTGTCAGTGCTGGGTGATGTGGGGGTGGGGCGCTGTCCTCGGCTGTCAGTGCTGAGCTAGGGGGTCCGGGGGGGGG